AGATCAAGGAATTACTGAAGGCAAAATCATCCACAGACATGAAAGGCTACTGGTGACTGAAAATGAGCAATCCAATGCAAATATCTTCATTTGTGGAATCTTTGCAAGACGACACGGGGATATAAAAAAGTTGGCTGTAATGATTGTAGTTAATGGGTACCTCAAATCATTAACAAGAAGTACAACAATGTTCATCTCCATGGATAATATCGAGAGAAACATGATTAAATATGATGGAATTCATCTTAACAAACACCAGAGTACATCAACATTCATCAGCAATATAAAAACTGCAACAAACATGAAAACTCCACTACAAGCACATACTCCAAGCCGAGCCACCAATAACCCAAGTACCAAATCAAATAAGAATAACGAACGAAGAAGATTATTTACTACCAACACACAGATGCAACATACAACAACCAATGAGCAATCAAGAAGATTATACAGTGAAGTAGTTAATAACAAGCCACTACATTTGTCTAGAAATGTTCAACCCAATCTTCAATGAAAAAGAAACAGAAATAATACAACCAGTTTACATAGGTGCTACAATGATGACATCATTGATAGATTAACTATTTCCAGTAGACAGTACACATCAAGAACAACGACTAATATCAATGATGAAGAAAGTAAGAGAGAATAGAATCAACAAAGCAGTGGCGGGATCCAGAAAATGTATTGGGGGGGGGGTCCAAGCTTTGCTTAAGATATACGGAGCGTAAATCGCAGAGAAGCTATGCGTAATCCAGATGATATGAATCGTCATGCGTTTGGGAGGGGCCATGGACCCCCTGCCCCCCCCCCCCTCTGGACCCGCCACTGAACAAAGCGATACTATCCATTGGTCACTGGAAACATGGCTGAATAAGAGCGAGAAAGAGATTTTACCAAAACCAGAAGGGTGTTATGTGTATCATAAAACAAGAACAAAAAAGCATGGAGAAGCTCAGGTGGAATATCATTATATATAAGACAGTCTATCTGACAAGGTATAACAGTTCTTCTACAAACATCACAGTTTACCATCTGGTGTAAACTGGACAGACACTTCGTCAAGCAACAAGAAGATATTTATATTTGCAATGCATCGAATTCATCACTATATATAAATAGTGATATAGATCCATTCAATGAATTGCAAGAGGAAATCATGAAATACAACAATATGGGGCTATTGCTAATCCGGGGTGACCTTAACGCCAGGACAAGTAATATGGATGATATGCTAATAAACAATGATAAATACTCACCAACTCCAATAAGAGATATGATAAGAAGTAAAAACATGATTCAAAGAAATAACCAAGACACCAGAAAGAATCAATTTGGAGAGATAAGTCAATCACATGAGTTATTAATTGTAAATGGAAGAGTGTGCAGGGATAGAACTGGTCAGTTAACCTGTCACGAGATTGTTGGTTCAAGCACAGTCGACTATGCATATCCATGGACATGTTTCATAACATTATACATTTTAACGTAAATGTATTTAAACCATCCAGTGATCACTGCCCTATCTCAACAAAGGTCAAATTACTAAAGTTCAAGAAAGATGACAATATCAACTTAAATCTCAAATATGCTCCAGGAAGATACACATGAAACCAAAAAACAAGAGAAATATACAAATTATATTCCCAAACATAAGAAAGTATTTCCATCATTCAAGACTTTTTACACACAAGTTATGAACTTGCATCTTCAAATGATATAGTAGAATAGCTAAAAAATGCCTCATCCGCAAAACAAACTTGAAAACAAGTCAAAAGAGGAAATCAAAGGGAGTATCAAATAGTCAGTGTAACATATGAAAAGAGAACTTGAGACCCTAGCAAGAGAACTACAGCGACATCCATATGATACCAGACTGAGAGAAAGGTACTATAACAAAAGGAAAACATTCAAAACTTGTGTGAAAAAAATACAGAAAGAACACACAGCTAAACAAATGAAAAACTTAGATGAGCTTAGCTGCAATATGAACCCACATTCATTCTGGAAAACCATCAACAAGATGACAAAATACAAAGACAACTCGTGTGTTCTGCAAATACCACATACATCCTGGATACGTCACTTTAAAGAAGTTAACAAAAACAAAGTCACTACAAAAGATCAGGAAGAAGAGATAATTAAAAAGCTGGAAGACATAGAACATAGTAATCAAGAAAACCAGTTTTTAAAGCATGAAATTACAGAAAAAGAAATAATCAGTTCTATGAAAATACTAAAGAACAACAAAGCATGTGGAATTGATGGCATACTAGCAGAGATGCTAAAACACAGTAACTCACAGATAAAAAGAGCACTGAAGAAGCTATTCAACCACATATTACAAACAATACAGTATCCAGATATTTGAAATATAAGCTTATTAACTCCTATACACAAACAAATGGATCGTTTTGATGCAAATAATTACAGAGGAGTATCTGTGGGTAGTTCTATTGGAAAATTATTTAATGCCACAATTAATAACAGATTAGTTATGTACCTAGAAGAATCATTCACCCAAATTAAGGAGGATTTTGTTCGAACCATAGAACAACAGACCACATTTTAACATTACACACAATTATCAAAAAGTATCAAACAAACAGCAAAAAGCTTTACTGCAGTTTTATAGATCTTAAGAAATGTTTTGACACTGTCTGGACAGAAGGACTTATGTACAAGCTGCAAACAAACAATATACAAGGTCATCAAACATATGTATCAGAACACACAGTGTGCAGTTAACTATGCAAGAAAATAACACTAAGATTCAACCTGGAAAATGGTGTTAGGCAGGGATGTCCATTAAGTCCCACACTTTTTAACATCTGCATAAATGATTTAATTGATGAACAACCAAAACAACTTTCCTCCACAGCATAATAACAAGTTAATGCCATGTTTGCTATATGCAGATGACATTATCATCATATCAGAATGTCAAGAAGGTATACAAACCTCCATGGCTATGCAACAAAATGGGACTGCAAATAAACGTGAACAAAACAAAATCAATGATATTTACAAAGAATGGATACAATACTGAAAAACTTAACATAATGTGTGGAACAGAACCCATTGAAAAAGTCACAAACTACACCTACCCTGGTGTCAACTTCAACACCAATGGCTCAATGGAGTCCACAATGACCAGACTTGCTGAGAAAGCCAGAAAAGCAGAAAAAGCAAAAACATTAATCTTGAATGCTGATAACAACAACCCTTCAATTAAAACCAAACTTTTTGAGACCACACAAATTCCAATTTTGACATATGCAGGAGAGGTGTGCGGCTTGTGCACAAATAAAAAGTTGGATATAACATGTACTGAAAAATTTCACCTCAAATTTTGTAGACATGTTTTGAATGTTAGCAACAACACAATCAACATAGCAGTTAGAATGGATTCTGGTAGACTGCCACTTGTCTATTATTTACACTATAAGTCATTTACATATTTCAAACACTTGATTTCATTGAAGGAAGACAATATTGCATACAATGCATTGAATGAAATGCAAAATGACACCCAGGATCATCATTGGCTGTCAAGACTAACAAAAATTAAAAAGGAATACAGTATTAACCAAGATGTCACAAAACTAAACTTTCAACAAATCTGTTTGATAACATCAACGGTATCAAAAACAAGGACAAATTTATATGTATTATGAATGCCCATACTAGACAACAATTACTGGGGTTAATTAAATATATCAAAACAGCGTATACAATAAGAGAGCAAATAATATTAACACACACTTTTTCTTGTTTGTTTGTTACACTTTTTGTTTTGTTTTTAGCTTTATTGCATTCTACATGCGTAGAAACCAAAAAAAAATTTGTCAAATTTTCTTTTACGTTGTAATAAAGCAATATTCTATTCTATAATAAAAAAATACTGAATTTATTCCAACCTCTCCATGCACTGAATGCCTGCAACATTTAAGTACATTTTCTGTCAGTATTTTAGTAGTTGAGATTACGAGATTTTCTGCCAGTATTTAAGTAGTTGAAATTACGAGATTTTTATGTCAGTATTTTAGTAGTTGAGATTACGAGATTTTTGTGTTAGTATTTTAGTAGTTGAGATTACGAGATTTTCTGTCAGTATTTTAGTAGTTGAGATTACGAGATTTTTGTGTCAGTATTTTAGTAGTTGAGATTACGAGAGTTTTGTGTCAGTATTTTAGTAG